GTGAAATAACAGTGAGTGTTATTGGACATCAACAGAAAAATGTAAGATGTAACTGTGGATTTTACAAAAACTGCTCCTTTAGTGCCTGGACAGGTCACATGAGATTAAACGAAGATATAAAACAGGACACATATGTGATTTCATATTTGTTATTTTAACTTATTTAAAGGTGATCTGTAAAGTGTTCCTTTATTGTCATTTTCACCTCAAATTTATTTTAAAAAGATCTAGTTGGTTGTTGGCTTCATGGACACCCATGACATGGGCGCATGAACACTACGTATCGAACAAATTTTCACACTTGTATTAAAAACTGTCAGCACGCCTACATCACTGAGGGCCATGTGCATGTGAGTGAACTGGACCTTTAGCTTTCAGCAGCTGGAGTTCTGGAGCCAGGCTGCATCCTTTGATGTTATTTCTATATCACATTATGTTTGTTTCTATAACGATCTAACCATCTTCACCACGACCTCCCAGTGTGATCAACACTACACACTTCTGTGCATACAGCAGCGAGCACGCCGACAACTCGTGCATTTAATGAACAACTTCACAGACAGTATGATCGGTTTAGCTCAGGACATGTGAGCAGAGGTGACACAAATGTGCGTTTTCTTTTACATAAAACAAATAGAGGCCACGTTTTCACAGGTAAATACAACAGAATACAATCCCAACATATTCACAGTTTTATAACTTATAACTTTTACAGTTTTAGAAATTGTCAAATTTCCATTCATGTGAGAACTATGTAGAAACTCACAAAAACAAGTACATGAAAATGTTTTTTCGTTCGTTTGTTAACGTTTAAAACTGTCTGTCAGGGAGCGAAATAGAAGAAAAACAATGGACAAGGACATCTGCAGTATCAGGTAAAGGCAAACACAGCTGAGGTCTGTTCAAATCTTTTAAAGAACCAACAACAACAAACGAGAACTCAGGAAGAGCAACCCTGCACCAGGCAGCACGATGCGGCAAATCCCACTAGAGGGCGCCAGAGAACAACCAATAAAGTAGCATCGTACTCATAATCAACACAACTCTTAATAGCCATACATGTAGTTTCTACACAGCAGAGGAACAAACTAACTGAACTAAATTGACACTCAGCACAAAGATTAACAACTAGAAATATTCTAACAGTGTTTTAAGGTTTTTATGTGAAGCAGCTTTGCAGGTAAACTCGAGTCCTCTCCTGCACCTCCGACCGAGAGCCGCCAGTCTCCGGTGGCGTACAGGTGCTCTAGGAAAAGTGTGTGCACCTACTGTAAAAGTGTGTAAAATATGTCAAAAAAAGGTTTTTGTTCGTATGTTACACTTCAAATATCTGATTCATATAAAACTCATTTTTGTACGCTTTTTTAAATAAAGCTTTGTCCATTGTACATGTCATGTGTTTTATTCTTTGGCCTTCGGAAACTGTAATAATTCATTTTGATACATAAAATATTCAAACTTTTTTGAGTATTTGAATAAAAAGATGCATAAAAAATCTCAGGCACTGATGAGCACAGACGGCTGAGAAGTGTTTGATGAAAAACGTTTTTCTTCTATGACGCTGGATTTTCAGGTTCTGAGGAACCAAATGTGTAAATAATGAATTGTATGAATAAATAAAGGAGGCTAAATAGCAAGCAGTGCTAATGCGGAACTGTGTTCGTTTGCTGCTTCAATGAAAGCAGAAGGATAAATTTTAAATTACACCTTTGCCATCCTGTGACCTCATTTGGGAGAAAGAAGAAACTTTATGTTAGACTCTGTGTTAAATCAGGTCTCAGCTCTGCTCTGTTTTGGTCATACAAACGGAGTTTTTAGTGTTGCAATGTTACATTTAAAATTTTAACCTTGATAAAGTAAAGAGTTCAGAAATATTTGCAAAAGCACTAATGGCATTTTTCTTAAAATGCAGTATTTAGAATTAACAGGTGTAATAAAGTTAGTGACAGTAATAATTCTTTAATGATTCTGAATGAGAGAACTGCAATAATGTTATTAACAGGAAGTCGGTGGGGTCAACATGGACAGGACGATAGTTAAAAGCAGGATGTTGTGATCTCAGCGGGAGCCGAGAGGGAGGAAGTGGAGTTTGTACCAGGCCTTTCTTTTTTGTTTGTGCGCATGATATTTATGAATCTATACAGAAACAGATTTGCAATAAATACACTGCAATCAAAACATGACTCTTTTCTGCCATACTGCTCCTTTTTGTTTCAACTTCATCACTTTTAGCGGCCCTTAAGTTTACTGCAGATCACCTCACGCTGTCAGTCTGAAACACACAGTCGCTGTTTTATGGTAAACCCAGTGACGCGAACAGACACACACTGTCGATGTGACTGCAGCTGCCGAACAAAGCTGCATCATAATGTTAATGTCACAGAATCATCTGTATTTTTTATCTCTCTCTCTCAGACACTCACTCACACACAAACAATTTTGGGAAATTGGGAACTGCTCCTAAAGATAACGAACCTTTTTTTCTTCTTCATAAAAAACCCCCCAAAAACAAAACTGTTTATTTCTGCTGCAGTTGGACATTTTAATATGCCCGTGTTAAGGCTAAAATGCGCTGATGCTGTGACAGTTTACTCCGGAAGTGCAGTTATGACCCGCTGCTTTCGCAAACTAGAAACCGAAAGTGTTCAAAACTGCGTCAGTGCGCTGAGAGGAGAGGCTGTGAGTTCCGTTATTTTCGAGAGATACTGTATTCACAATCTTGGGAGATTTCTGCGGACATGGAGCTTCTATCACTTCTGTTTATGAGCTCCTGCTTCCTGACTTTGTCCGGACTGACGTTTGGTGATCAATCCGGTAAGAAAATCGTTAATTTATTATTTATTTACTGATCGTAGGCGCACGCGCAGTTATGGAACAATGGAGTGTCTGTGAACACGCAGCAGCGTGGGGCCTTAAGACTGTTCAGGCGGATGGTTTCGTGGGTGGGTGCCTGCACCATCCGTACCCATCACTTTATCTTTTAACGCAGCTGCCCGCGTTGTGTTTTGCGTTATGTGAGTATACTGAGTATTACGGTAAACAAGACAGACCGAAGTCAACAGTTTCAGGCGAACGTGTTTTCAACATAATTAACATGTGATCTGCCATTAATAACGTAATAAAACATGAAATACAGAAAAATACAGAAAAGATGTACAAAATCAAAATATTAACAGACTGAATCAAAGTATAACTAACTTACTAATAACCACGTTTGTAAGTTACTAATTTGACTTTAGATCAGTGACGTTCACCCTCACAGTGCCATTATCAAGTCAGTATGTATTTCAAAGTAAAGGCCTTCGGAAATGTAATATATGGACATGTATATTCAGTGAGCTCTTTAAAACAACACCTGTGGTTCACTGGGAGACATGAACACATTTTGTCTTGGCATGGCTGCAATAAGGAGTCTTCTTTCAGAAGTTTTTGTATTTAATGATTTGTTATATCAGTCAGACCACGTGTTCATCACGTTCACCTTCACTTAAAGATGGCTTTTATTTTGAAACAGGAGCTCAGTTTCTCTTACCGTAATACCTTGCATACACACAAAACAAAACAAACAAAGTGGGGTTCGCTTGTCTGCGTTTCTGGAAATGAGGGCTGTAAAATACAGAGTCAGCATAGATTAGTGTGCATTATTTTAAACAAAAACATGATGATTATTTATGGTCATTTATTAGAGAAACTCATAGTTTCATTTGGAGATGTCTTTAACTTTAGGTGTGGCCTCATCGACAGCGGTCTGTGCGCTGCTTCCTGAAACGCACATCCTTTTTCTTTCCTGTTGAGACACCAACTGTGTAACGTTTGCTTCTGAATATGAAATTTAAGTGTGTGTCCGCTACATGAAGCTTTAAAGACACTATAGCTTTATGTTATACTGACCAACCACAACAAAATGAAAACTCAAGACTCACAAAAACTGAAAGAGCTGACACACACACACACACACACACACACACACACACACACACACACACACACACACACACACACAGCATAGCTCTTGTTTTTTTTTCCCTCTCAGGCTGTAGGTAATAATTAAAGTCTGGAATATTAGCTCGCTAACAGTAGCAGCTGTGGTGCACATGGCTCTGATAAAGAGAAGTAAAAAATAGAAACATGAAAATCTGTGTGCACTTTTGGCAGGTACACAGAGATTTTAACTATGTTCAAAGAAACAGATTAAAAACCTGAAACACTAAAGTTGTGTTTGCTTAAAAAAATAAAATAAATGACTAAATCTCAGTTTCATTCCTGAGGAGCAGAACGAGACTCTGCTCTAAGCACTCAGCGTGAGGACTGAGTGAAGAGTTATAAAGTTTTTAGAATTTGCATGTTTTCAGATATTAAATCAACTTACAGACAGAACAACAACACAGCTCTGCAACACCACTGACCAGTGAGACAATTAATGGGAGCAAAGACCAGAAATTAATTTTCACTCCTACAGTTTATAATAATAATGTGCATTACATGGAAAACAGGATAGGACAGCAGCGTTTACATGTGTAAGGCAACTCAAGTATTTTGTAACTGTAGGTGTAACACCCCTTTCTAAACTTGGGATATAGATTTGAATGTTTGACTGCTGGAGCAAATTGAGTAACTAATGAAACACTCTGAGAACTTGATTTTATCAACTTCACAAAAGAATAATGTCATATACATACAATGGAAACAACAGCATTACATGAAAGGAAAAGCTGGGACCAAAATCATGGAAAATAATAAACAAACCACACCCCAGGGGATTTGGCTCAGTCTCTTGTGTCAGGCCACACCTTGCAGTGGGAGTCCAGCAATGAGGCCCCTCCTTGCAGGGTGTGCAAAGTGAGGTCAATTCTGTCCAAACACTTAAGTAGACTTCGTACAGTTTGAGGCTCGTCCAAAGAATTTAACTTCCTTCTCAGAACAATCATCTCAAGGAATCCTGGAGGGGTGGCTCACCATCTTTGGACTTTTCTTCCATGAACCGTACACCCAAAACACCTGACCTGTATAACACAGAGTAACATTCAGGAAGCTACATTTAGACATTCATACAAACTACAAAAAAGAAAACATATCCCCTTTTCTGTAAACTGCATTTACTTCACAATGAACACAACAAGGGTTTGACACAGGAACATACAGTGTCTACAGCATAAATATAACCTGCAGTCTTTGCATACAGTGTTATAGGAAGCTAACAAAATGTAATGTAATCAAGCTCACAGGTGTTGAACAAAGGTTCGAAGGTTTTAATAACTGGTGAGATAAGAGTGAGTCTTGATGCAGCAGGTGGATGGACCTGTGGCTGGATCAGTAACAGGCGCAGAGCTCCAGTTGAATCACACAGCAGCAAGGTGGAGGTGGTGTACTGGTATTGGCTGGTGTCACTGAAGATGAGCCAGTTGGACCTTTTCAGGCTGAAGATGGACACAAAGTCAACGCCCAAACAGACAGTTTTTGAAGAAACTTTCTTCTAGCTGACGTACAGGAAAAGGTCTGCATCTTTCAAGAAGACGTGATTTTCATGCAAGACGATGCATCACATGTATCACAGCGCTGCACGGCTTTCCAGAAAAGACCTGAAAGATGAAAGAGTGACACGGCCCCTTCATCACCTGAACTAAAGCTTGTGGAGAATTTGTGGGTCCTTCTAAAACAGCAGAATTATGTTGAAATAAAACTGTACACCTCTCTGAAGAGTGTCCAGGAGCTGTTGCCTAATAATTATCCACACACACATTCTCATATTTTTCCTTTCTTAAATATTCAGTTTTGACTTAAGATAATATCATTGGACCAAGATCTCTGTAGACATTCAACAATAACAATAACCTTCAAA